TCCCCTTCCTTCCTGTTCTTTTGCTCCCCTACCCGAGTTATGCTTTCCCCTCTTCCTCCGGAGAAGAATCGGGAACTTTGACTGCAAAGTAAGGCTTATTAGATGAGAGGGATTTAAATAGGGTACTGATATCATTTGTGATGAGATCATTGAAGAAAACTTGGAATTCCAACTTTTGGAATTGGGAAGTACTGGTAATGGTACTCCATTACGGCTGTTTGATGCAGATGCAATGCGTTTGACATCAAGCTTTTGAACAAATGACTCTTTGACCATTTGCTTTAGAGTATATAAGGATTATTTGAACTGAGAAAATATAAAATCGAAACTGAAAATAATGCAGAAATATGAGTTTAGTGGGTAGAAAATCTGTAATACGAGTCCAACATAGAAAATTTATAAAGAGATATCATGTAGAAATTTTCATCACCATTTTGGTGATAGCTTTGAATAAGAAAGAAATGGTAGTTCGGGGTCCACATAAAAATTCAATTTGATTCTGAAAAAATAAAAAAAAACATGAGTAACTAGCTCAAATTTAAGTGAAACACTCATAATTTGCCATGTCAATGTGACGTGTCCAAAAGACACAATATTTTCAAGTAAAGTGGTTTATCTGGTCACTAGCTAAGTTGGAGTTCCTAACTAATAAATCGTGCCACATTTGAGGAGCTATCTAAGAAATTGGCCTAGATAAATACTAAATGCCCTACAAACATATGACTTTTTTCCTTGAATAGTATTTCAACTCCTTTTTTAAAAGTAAAATAGTACCCTGATACTTTTCAGGGTTGACTTTAATGTCATCCTTAAAAATAATATGAAGCAAGCAGTATATTGAATTACATTTCGGTTTAAATAGATATTTATATATCAACATTGTGATGTATGCTTAATCTTAAATTCTTACTAATTTTGGTATTAATACCCATTGAAATAGCTTCTCTCTTTATATAAATTACTACCATAGTAACAATTTGTGTGACATACTAAGATTATCCCACCTAATTTCGGAGTTTATTCCTTTCCTACTTTTGCAAAACTTTTGACATGAGTTTGCCATCTTTTTGGTTTTTTATCTCCTTTACGGCTCTTGTTTTTTGGTAACGGCTCTTTCATGTCTATTTTAATTGATTGCGCTCCTCTTTAGTGTAACACCTATCAAAATATCACATTTACCCGTCAAAACAAAACCAAAAGAAGAAATGACCGTATCAGAAAATATTCATATCACTGCCACATCAACCGCATAAAAAATGCAGTAATGCGCTCATCATCAGCATAGTTTGCACAATGTGAAGTTCTCTTCTCTTTAAATAGGTCTTTCAACAATGCATCACGAAGTAAGACAAATCTATTGCCTTTGCATATTTTCAATCTCGTTTACAGCATATATTTCCTTTTTCGATAATCCAAATAAGTGCTGTTACTTGACTTCTCAAAGTAGTTAAGCATAAAACACAACAGCTATAAGGAAATAGTAGTCCAGTAACTGGCATTAAGAAAAAATCCACTACTTCGAATACACTACTTAGAAAATAGGTCGAATCTAATTCACCACGAGTTTCAAATTTTAATTAAGCCTATTAACTCGATAAAACAATTCAATTACCGAACAATAAATACAGTACAAACATTGAACAGTTTATAACACACAAAAAATAGAAAAGGAAAATAAAGTGAGAATGAGAGTTATTTACATGAGCTTCGAACATGATGATGAATCAACGGCGATCTTTCACGGCGGCAGGAACCGAACGCCGATATAATTAGCGGCGATCACCGTTCAAATGCAAGCTGTTCATTTACAAAGATGTGATGAAACCCTAGCACCTTCTCGAAGATCGACACGTAGCTTTGGAAGTTTTTGGAGGGGAAAAATGGCGAAAGGAAGGGGGTTGATGAAAGTATATACATAAAAACGCATAAGCGGTCATTTCCAAATACTGTGCATTGCAGGCCGTCCGGTTTTTTTGTAAACTGGGTCGGGTTCAGTCGGGTTAAGAGGTTGGGTAACGAACACGCATTTAATGTTTGAATTGATTTGGGGTAATTCTATAATTACTATAACTTGAAGGTTATCTTTGGAACAATTGAAAATATCGAGGATTTGACCTTTTCTTGTGTTTAACATTACAACTAAGACCGCGTTTTTTGAGAAATTCCATATGCTCGCTGGTACAAGTATACTATTAGAAAACGATTGCAACTTAATTTGGATGGAGCCCTATGGTATAATATGTTAACAAATTTGATTCTAAAGCCTTGCTTTTCCCTATAAGCAAACTAATTTTTTATTTTAAATTTTAGTTAATATTGTTAGCAACCTGTGTCCGTAAATAATTTCTGCAAAAAATAAAACAAACAAAAACAGAAACGGATTATAAACAGAATAAATAAAGTTTCGAGCCCAACATAAAACTGTGTTTTCTTAAGGAATTTAATCCCCTCACTGTTGCCTAAGGTTGTTGGATTAATTCCTCCAAGTATAGAACGGAACAATTATTCAGTAATACCGACAATGGAAATTACAGAACTTCGTCGAACTCAACAAACGGCAGTAAACCACAGTGATGCTTACGTTTTGCTTGTTTGAAAACAATGCAGAAATGCAGAAGAGAGAGGGGAGAGTATGCAGATTTTCGGTGCTGAAAATGAGGCAAAACCTCTAAATTTATATCCAAACAGTCTGGGTTGAATAGGTGCGAAGGTACCTATTCATATGAGGTACCATTTCGGCAGAAGTCTAGTCGTGAATTTTAAACTCAAAACGACCGTTGGGAACCGCAAATTTTAGAATTAAAATTCCGCGAATGAATATAAGAAAAAAATTATATAATGGAAAACGGGAAATAAATTTGGTCGAAAAAATTATCAATCAATCATATCAATGGACCAAATTCGAAGCCGAGCCGATTCGAGCAAGCGACGATGACGACGTGAGGCACCACTTCTTCTTAATTCTTTAGAGCTAGAAGATTTGCTTCTTTATATAAGCACAAATATTTTCTTTCCCTTTTCCAGTGAGGGACAAAGTGTGTTAGTAAAGGAAACTATTTCAAACTTTTTGTTTCCCTTATAATCTTTTCCCTCCATTTCCAATCCACACCTCTTATATAATTAGATAAAAACCCAACAATATCCCATATGAATGGGGAATGGCTATCTGAAAATATGCATGTATGAAAACTGTGTGATTTACAAGCAATGATTAATCGCATCTGGATAAGTAGTTTTCCCTTTGAACTTTCCATAGTGAACTTATGTCGGATATACTCGGTCAATCGGTAAATTTAATATTTTTGAACCGTCGAACTTTGGTGTATACCTAGACAGCCATAAGTCACATAATCAACTCTTTAACCGCCTTTGGTTCTCATTTGTTGTATTTGTTTAAGCCATGAACACTGCATGGTTCATAAGTGCACAGAGAACTGGCCTTACAGAATTCTCCTTGAAGCGGCTTACACTTTACAATTATATAGGTGATTCCTAAACGTGTTATCCCGTAGATGCACTATTTGATATACCACGTATAAAACATAGAATCCATTAAAAAGCCTTAACGTTTTATCCTTGGTACTGAACATTGTCTCATCACAAGAATAGACCAAAATTTTATTTGACAATGTTGAACCGTCACTAATGACTTTGTTTGATCTCCTTGAACTTAGATCTTGGGATCTATAAGCTTCTAGGTAGAGTTACCGCCACAGTGACTTGTCCTCAGCCATAGTCTCATTCCCTTCGATGATTTATCAACCGCCTCTTTATTTAGGCCTTTTGTAAGTGGATTCGACACATTATCTTTTGACTTTACGTAGTCAATTGTGATAATTCCACTAGAGAGTAATTGTCTAACAGTATTATGTATTCGTCGTAAGTGACGAGATTTCCCATTATACATAACGTTTTCATCCCTTCCTATTGCCACTTGATTATCGCAATGTATGCATATAGGAGCCACTGATTTGGTCCAAAATGGAATATCTTCCAAGAATTTCAGGCCATTCAGCTTCTTCTCCGGTCTAATCTAAAGCTATAAACTCAGACTTCATTGTAGAGCGAGCGATGCATGTCTGTTTGGTTGATTTCCAAGACATTGCTCCTCCACTAATATCATTGCCATCTAATAAGTTTGGTCGGGATTACTTGTATAACGACTCAATTTACTTACTGCACAAGTTATATCAGGTCATGTACAATTCATGATATACATTGAACTTCCCAACAATTGAGCATAATCCAGTTGAGATTTGCTCTGACCTATATTCCTTATAAGAGCAATATTTACATCAATCGGGGTCTTTGTGACTTTGAAATCTAAATACTTGAATTTTTCAAGTACCATTTTAACGTAATGAGATTGAGACAATGTCAATCCTTGAGGAGTCCTATGGATTTTAATTCCTAGAATTAAATCATCAACTCCTAAGTCTTTCGTATCAAACTTGCTAGCAAGCATACGCTTAGTATCATTTATATTCGCAATGTCTTTGCTTATTATTAACATATCATCAATATATAAACATACAACAACTATATGAATTGGAGTGTTTTTAATGTAAACACATTTATCACACTCATTAATCTTAAATCCATTTGCCAACATTGTTTGGTCAAATTTTGCATGCTATTCTTTGGGTGCTTGTTTTAATCCGTAGAGTGACTTAACAAGTCGGCACACTTTCTTTTCTTTTTCGGGAACCACGAACCCTTCAGGTTGTTTCATATAAATATCTTCCTCCAAATCTCTATTTAAGAAGGTTGTCTTTATATCTATCTGATGGATTTCAAGATCATACACGACAACTAACGCTATTAATACCCAAATAGATGTAATCCTCATTACCATTGAGTATGTATCAAAGTAATCAAGACCTTCTCGTTGTCTAAACTCTTTGACAACTAATCTTGCCTTATATTTGTCAATAGTACTATCAACTTTCATTTTCCTTTTGAAAATCCACTTAGAACTCAAAGGTTTATTTCCTGGAGGAGGTTCAACCAATTCCCAAGTATGATTACTTAATATGGATTCTATCTCACTATTGACTGCCTCTTTCCAATATTGTGAGTTAGAGGGATCGGATGTGAATTCCGATGGTTTGGTTAGCTCCGGGAGGTGATTTGTGACTTAGGAGTGTGATCGGAAGTGGTTTTGGAGGTCTGGTGTAGAATTATGCTTGAATTGGTGAAGTCAGTATTTTGGCGAATTCCGGTTGATAGGTGAGATTTTGATCCGAGGGTCAGAATGGAATTCTGAGAGTTGCTAT